ATATGTAAACTAAGAGTGAAACTGCAGAAGCCTAACACAGCACCCAAATTGCAATACAACTCCTAAGCGATTCATACATGAAAGAAAGATATATGGACAATTTGAAAAGATATGAGAGACACAATGGAAACTCGAGATGAGACACACTTAGCTTTAGTGGCATCAGCAAACAATATCATCCCAAAAGAGAATGGATGAAGAAAAAAAACGAATGGATGACTGATGAGATTCTCAACATGATGAAAAGGAGACAGAAAACTGCCAAGATACAGAACAGTATACAGAAAATTACACAATGAAATGAGAACCAAATGAAAGCAGGCTAAAGAAGAGTGGCTAAACCAAAAATGTGCAGAAATAGAGAGATTGAGTACCACCAACAAAGGAGATCTGCATAAACAAATAAGGCGACTAACAGGACAGAACACATGCTTGTCAACAGGCTGTATAAAATTAAAGAATGGAACACTTAGGGAAGGAAAAAAATTTTCAGTGCTGGAACGAGTATATTGAAGAACTCTTCCACAACAAAAGATCACAATCAGCAATGCACAGAACTACCAGCAGACATGAAATTCTAAAAAAAACTAAGTATAAGCTGTACTAGCCAAATTAAACAGAAACAAGGCAGCAGGGCCAGACAATTGTAATGGAAATGCTGACAGCCTTAGATGATCACAGAAATAATAAATGAAATCTACAATAGTGGGGTTATACTGGAAGATCTCAACAGATCTATTTTCATAGCACTGCCTAAGAAACCAGGCACAAACAAATATGATCTCCACCAAACAATCAGTCTAATGAGCTACTTAACAAAACTAATCATCCGTATTCTGATGAATAGAGCACACAGCAGAATCAGGCTAGAGATAGGACAAGAGCAGTGTGGGTTAATATAAAGACACCGGAACAAGGAATGTGATATTCATGCTCAGAATGTTATCAGAAAGTGCAATACAAATGCAGAAGGATATGTACCTATGTTTTATAGACTACGCAAAGGCGTTCAACAAAGTACGCCACAAAGATCTTTTGAAACTGCTCAGCAGCCTTAATATATTTGGGCAAGTTATTAGGATAATCAAGAACCTACGCTAGCAGCAAACAGCATGTATGCACATAGAGAATGATTTCAGCAGATATACAAAAATAGAAAGGGTCATATGGCAAGGATGTGTCTTCTTGCTGGACTTATTCAACCTATACAGTGAGAGAATTGAAAATCCTACAGGGATTTAGCATAGGCAGCCACAATCTTAACAACATAAGATATGCAGATGACACAGTGGCTGATAGCACACAAGGAAAAAAAAAATTACAAAACCCCTACAGAAGGTAGCGAAGAAGAGCGAGAAGGGACTAAGCATAAACTACAAGAAAACGGAATGCATGGTCATCAATAAAAGGATAAGCCTGAAATGTGATTTACAGGTCAGGGACACTAAAATCAAGCAGGTGCAGAAATTTAAATATCTGGGAAGTGTTTTGACAGAGGACAGTAAGTGCAACATAGATCCAAAGATGTATTGGGGTTGGCCAAAGATGCATTCCAAAAGCTAGGCAAAGTATTACGAGACAGATTTTCTTTGGAAACAAAAGAGTACTGAACTGCTACGTCACGTTTGTCCTTTGCGGCAGTTGGACAGTCTCCTCCAAAAATGGAGAGACTTGAGGTAACGGAGGTATGAGTCTACAGAAGGGTGCTAAGGATATCATTGACAGTGTGTGAACAATGATGAGGTTTTGGAGAGGATGCAAACAAGGAGGAAGCTTATACTTAACATCAGGAAAAGGCAACTGAAATTTCTGGGGCACATAATGAGAAAGGAGGACTTGGAGAATCTGATACTTACAGGTCAAATAGAAACAAGGGAAATCAACGCATGACATACCTAGTGGGCTCAAGCAAGTGGATGACAGAACATGGCCTGAGGGAAGTAGCAGAGGGACAAGCTACAAGGGATCAGGGTGAAGTTGAGAGCTATGATGTCCTGAAGGGACATAGCACAAAAAAAACAAAGAAAAGATGACACCATCCATGCTCAAAGTATGGAAAATCTTTAGATGTGAGCCCGTGGCATTGATGTTTAATTGTTATAAACATATATACTTTGGTCTTATTGATTTTATGCTGCTTAAGTGAAGGATTACTTACTTAAAAGGTCAATGTAAATACTAACAACTGGGAACATCTTGCATCAGGCAGGGAAGCAGGGAGGAATCTGATTGCTGTTGGCATCAAAGAATTTGAGATTAGAGTTGCTTGCGCTGAACTGAAGCAAGCTGGTAGATATATGGAAGTCTATAGTTTAAATTAAGTCTTCCCTTGCACTCTCCACTTGTCTCTCAATCAAGCAACTGGCAAAAATCCATCCCAAGTGACAGTTTCTCCAGGCAACAGACAAAAAACTGTTTATTTATCAAAATGCAATGCTTTTGGTACAAAACCAAAGAGGGTGGAACAGCTGGTCATCAGTAAATATCCTACTCATAGCTATGGACTTCTTAGCCACTTGATGACCAAGAAAAGTTGACTAGTGCTTGGTCATTGATACACTCTAAGGCTGAGAGGTTCGAAGCATGTCAGATCTAATAGCAGTTACTCCTAGCTAGTTCAATTCACAACCTATTCATTCTAACAATTGACACACACCATAAGAACTCCTCCTTTACCATTCAGTTTAAACATGTACCAAAGTACCACATTTTCAAAGGGGGACCTATTAATACACCCATGGTATAAGTACAAATTTTTTTATTACAAAATATATAAAAATTTGATGTGTGCTGGAATATTTGCAATGGTATGAAAGAGAACAGGGTGAATCCATTAAATCAAATAAAAGATAAACTAGATATTTAAAAGAAATTAAGTGTTAGTAAGGTACTGTCCACTTCACAAAAATGAGAATGGCAGCTGTATTCTGCTCTGACAGAATCAAGAAGCTTACTCGCTAGTGGCAGTAAGTGGGGAAAATGTAAAAGGCTGGTTCAATCAAGATAAAAGGAGAGATAGAAAATTTTGAAAAGGACCATAACGAAAGACAAGGCTAGGAATGACAGTCACTCATATTAACTAGGAGAACAAGATAGATCAGTTTAACCAGGGGTGGGATCCATCAGGAATCTGCCCTGTTGTGATCTGAAGGGACTAAAAAAGGAAATCAAGTTTGGCTCTATTTACTCAGACCAGTCTAGCAACACATAATCCACCTTTCGCTAATAGCCTTCTGTCGCTGGGGCCTACAACCGCACTCACCCCCGGGCTGGAAAGGAGTGATAGTAAGGCTAGGAAAGGCAACCCTAGCACTCTTTGCCCACAAAGGATCCTCTGTCAATAGCAGCCTTGAGGCATGACTTTCCAATTGTGTCATTCCCAGTCTCCCATGATATGAATGCTAGATACAGATCTCTCTGTATTTGCACATACAACAGGAAGAAGAGCAGGCATTTGAGTGCCTTCAGAAGACTGTCAAAGAGAGGAAGTACCGACAACTGATAAAGGAAAAGAGGAAATGTGTAAAAAGGCACGCGTCTTAGCCCTACCCTTTAAAATATCCAAGCCAAGTATGAACTGACACTCCAATTTTTTCCTGTACTTCCGACCAATTCTTCTCCATCTGAATAATCCAGTCTGAACCACACTCAAAGAATGCAAAGAGGACCATCAATCAAATTGAGAGGAGCTAGAAGAGTAGTGCCTCCTTCAAGTGCCCAACTGCAATCTGGAAATCTTGAGCCCCTGTAACTGTCTTGTACCATTCTGCTCCACTTCAATATCTCTAGATATGACAGAAAAATGGGTACATCATCAGCGTATACAGCTTTTCCTAGGAGACTGATTCTGCATAGGACTTAATCTCTATTGTTGTCATTCAGTCTGCACTGGAGGGGCTCCAATGCCAAAGCATAAAGTATGAGTGACAACAGGCAACCCTGATGAACCAACCGGGACAGCGCAAAGGTGCCGGCTGCTTTCTGTTCACCTGTACTAAAGCACTGAGAATGTGATGCAGAAAGCTAATCCACTTGCAGAAGTTGTTTTGGAATCCAGCAGCCTGTATGACAGTTGACACTGTAAAGTGCCTTAGCCTGTCCCAATTGATCAGCACTGCCTCTTTGTCATCACCTTCTACAATTGTGTGGATCAAATGCTGAATGCTCAAAATTGTTCAGCTCTTCAGAGTGCAAGTTTTTTTTTTTGGTTATGCGTTGATTTCTGCATTTGTAGCTATTCATACTTATTTTTTTTATCCGTTCGGGTTCAGTCAAAGCCACTTGGATTTGGGCATATTTTGGTATCCCAACATAAGTCTTGAGGTTCTGGTCGTTGGATGCTTTACTCATGCTTATATTTTTCTTTTATTGTAATATCTTGTGTATATGTATATATTAAAATTCTTATACCAAAATTTATTAACTTGGCGTTCATCCTTGAATTGTGGATCCGTATATGTGTTTGAACCGGGCGAACCTGGGAAAAGACTACTGTTTGATTATCTCAATCGAACAGTATTCTTTAAAAATATTTTTGTTTACTAATTGTCCATTTGTCATGGTCTGGGAGAGATAGCTTGTATCTCTCCATAGGCGTGATAATATATATATCTCCTGGTGATTTGTATGATTCAGTGTTTATAAATTAAATTCGAGTAGGGCATATGACAATACTGACAAGACTTGATTTAATTTTGTATCCTGATCAAGTAGTAAATGTGAGATAATAAAAATATACATTTAAGTTCAAGCCACATCTTGCACCTTATTTGTCAAGTGTACTGAGTAACTTTCTATTTTTGACTCTTAGAACTGTCAGTTTTTGTTTTGCTAATTAAATAAATGACTTTTTGATAATATCACTTTCAGTCGGTATTTTGTATTCAAAAGTAAACAGAATAGAAATGTTTTGCTGGCAAATTTCCTATTTGGTTTAATTTTTTTATTTAGTATACTGTATTTGATCAGATTTGTTCATAAATACTTATTTTTCTTTTCAGAATCGTGAATTACAGATTATGCGAAAGTTGGAACATCAGAACATAGTTAAACTGAAATACTTTTTCTATTCCTCAGGTGAAAAGGTAAGAAACTTGTAAACTTTAATATTAACTTTTTATGTTGACAGTAGTTGGGTCCAGATTTTGAATTGTTTCTGTCAGATTGTACATAAATCAATTTTCTATAAAATCAGTTAAACCTTTTAAATCTGGATAAAGGTTTATTTTAAGAATGGGATAAATAGCTTGCTAAAAAAATAATTTTCTATGTCCTGATCTAATATAAATTTTTATTCATCCATTAAGCATTTAAGTGAGTTACTTCATATTTATTAGACATGCAGGCTAATATTATTATTAGTAAGAAGGCTAAATAAGATATTTTTCCCCAAAACATTTTATTCAGTTTCTATCTTGAATTGAAAGTATGACTGATACTTTGTCACTCAGTTCAGATAATGTAACAATTATTTTTATACTAGCATTCTCATAATAATATACCATGTTTAAATCTCAGATAAAACTTGTAGAAGTAGTCTTTGTTACTAGTGAATTTTAAATTAAAATCTATATAAAAAAAAATGATCTTTGCATTTTTATAGAATTTTCTGATTATGCTAGTATTTTATCAGGTATTAAACTTTATTCTATTTTTAAAGATAATTCCCAATATAAATGAAGTTGAAATTGAACAGTGTGTATCCAAAAATTTAATTTCTTTGCTGATCGCTTCCTTTATGATGATAGTGTTGATAACTAAATTCATCACCAGTGTGCTGGTTTTGGAATAGAAGCTTCCAGTTTCACCAAAACCTGCTCCTGTCATCTATTCCCTATTGCTGTTTGTCTTTGTTGGTTGGAGGTGAAAGAAAATCAGAGTAGAAGAAAGTGCCGATGGCATGAATTTGACCACACACACTTGATTTCAGGTTCTCCCTTTGCGGCACTTATGGTATGAGATGCCGAATCCAGTTATGAAACTGCAACAAACTGCCGCCGACTCTTATAATTTCAAGTGGCGGCATCAGTAGCATGTTTATCATGTGTAGCCCTCTTCATCTGCTGCTTTAACCATTGAGATCTGTTGTAATCATCATCTGCTTCTTCTACCTTTGGGGTTGGTTGCAGTTAGTCTTTGACCTTGCTGCCATTGGTGACCCTACCAAGAGTTTAAAACTGATAGCATTTGACCATGCAATTCCACCACCACAACAAGGAGAAATCATAAGAGGTACATACATAGAAACATACACGCACACACATATTTTACACTGGATGTCAGAGTAAACGGTTCATCATCAAATGTTACTTTAATGACAATTAACCAAAAAATAAACAAAAAATGTTACAATTCAAAATGCTTTTCCTACAAATTTGAAAATACATCTTCATCTATAAAAATAAAAAAAAAAACTTACATTACTTTTACAATAAATAAGAATAGGATAAAATTATCAGTAAGTGTTGTTAAAAATGTTTGAATGATAAATGATAGGGACAGAAATTTATAATACTAAACTAATAGTCAAAGATAAACATTATAGCTGAAAATGATTTTCCTCCATTTTCAAAAATTGTCCTCTCACTCATAAGAAAACAATTCTATGTTACGCTTCAATATTATAGAGTAGAATTATTTGATGTGTCTTAGGATAGAAAATGCATCTTTGAAGAATAAGAATGTTATTTTTAAAGTTTGCAGGCTAATAATGACCTGTATCTTGAACTTTTGTTGTTCGGTCAAAAACTGATGAAATGTATTAAAACTTTTATTGCTTGGCTTTATATTAAAAGTTTAATCTGGTAAACTTGTCCTTTTACTTGTGTATTTCTGCCATAGATGGCTAGAAAATGTACAAACATGTGAACGACTCTTAGACATTTGGCCAGATGTCATCAAATGTTTTAACTTAATTTTAAAAAATCCCTCATGAATACTAGCCTTCTTTATTCTGTATCTGTTGTTCCTATCAAAATTCCTGTTGACTACATCTACATTGTATATATTTCCTTTTTACAGTACTAAGCACCATTTCTACACTACTTTGTATCTGCTCTTAAGAACAACATAATCTGATATTGTCAACTGTCTCTTGCAATTCAGATCTGCTTTTAGCATCTCCTTAGCAACACTGTAACTGCTGATAATTCAATTTAAAATAGTTGGTCAGGAAAAATAAAATGATCAACCCATTATTTAAAAAATTTGAAAAAGGATTTTAAAAAGTGAAAAACTGTTCAGTCTTTATTCAGAAATGTACATATACAAATGAGATGATTGTATTTTATGAAATTGTACAAAATCATTGCAAAAAAATGCGTAATTACTGAAAATATATGATCTGCCAGCAAAGTTTAACGATGATGCTCACAATAAAACTGTCTCAAAGGGACAGTTTTTCCTTTGACACCACTATTATTGTTCTAATTTTTCTCTCTAGACAATGTTTGTTTTTAAAAAGCAATGATTAGAATTTTAATAAATTCCAAACATGAAAATGAATTTATACATTTTTTTGTTCTTTGAGAATTTACAACAAAAATATTCTATTAGATTGTTTATTTACATGAATAATCTTATATTTACAACATTCTAAAAATGCATACCAACTAATACAATGCAATGTTTATCATTTACCAAGTTATAAAGAAATAAATGAAAACAATCTTTTTATTCATAAATTTATAAAAATTGCTAAATCCTAAATATATATGTATGAACCAACTGTAATGAAATCTTTATTTACCATTTTATAAAATCAATTACCAATTTTCTACTGTTTTGCCAACCATTCCAAAACAATTCATTGAAAATTTTGTAGGTTTTTATAAATTTTTGAATGAAAAGATTTCTTTTCAAATTTATTTCTTTATAAAATGATAAATAATAATTATCGCATTGCATCTGGTTCACATCTTTTTATGTTTCTGCAATTTAAAGGAATAGCAGTGTCAACAGAAAAAAAAACCCTTTTTGACATACCATTTTTTTTTTTTTTGCCTCTTCATCTTTCAAGTAATTTTTCTTAAAAAAAAAAAAAAAAAATTCTAGTGAATTGTATAAATATATATTGTTATGCATATTTAAATTTATTTAATAATGTTACTATAATATGAATGTTTATTATTTTCCACATTATATGAAATATTGTTTTTGATATGTTCATTGATGTAAGAATGTGCATCAAAAACCAGTATTGAATGTCTCCTTAAAAATTGCCATAAAAACAAAAAAACTGTCCGAGCTCAAGAACTCCTTGTATAATTTTAATGAAATTTGACACTGCACGTGACCAGGGTTCAATGTACAATATGCTTCTAAATTAGTTGGGGTATTATATATTTAAGCTATATCTTGGGAACACAAATACATAGGTGCCAAATGTAACATTAGCTAAGTGACAAATTTTAAATTTGTATTAATCTTAGTTTTAGCATTGTACAGATATTGATTATATGCAAATTAGATATTGAATCTTTGTCTTTCAGGTATATAACCATATTTTTCATCACTTTGATATATTCACTACACTGACTATATCTGTTCCATGGCTTTGTAGAATATTTTTTGCCTATAAAATTTGAAAAAGTCGAAAGACTCTTTTATATTATTTTTCTAGTGGGATCCTGGATTTTTTGACAGGGCAAAGATGTACATGGTAGAGGACAACCATTGGCGCTTTCTCCATTACATCCAATTTCTTCATTGTACTATCCCTCATAATAATGTCAATTTTTCTTATATTTTGGATGTGCTGTATTTGTAGCAAGATGCTGCCTGAAAGTATTTGCGCAGTGTGCTGAATTAATTCAGCTAATGCCTCTTATTTTTCCCTGATATTTCTAAATGTTGGAAGATTTCTTTGTACACTACTGTGCACATAGTTTTCCCACACCACTCTGTGTTGTTCTATCATTAGAGTAAACTACACATGCTGAACCTGATATTTCTTTTGCAATATTATTCAATTGCCATTGCTTCCATTTGCGCTTCTACTCTTCATTTGTTTGTGGTTGTGTAAAGTATTGTACTTCTTCCATTCTTGATATTTTCTTTTGCCAAACAAATGATTAGTAAATCCATTTTATTGTTCGTCTGATATATGATACTTTAATTAAAGAATTGTTTTGATCATATAGAATTCTGGTTTGGATACTCCCCATCCCTTAGAAAGATCATGAGGGTGATCCAGCATTTCATTGTCATTCTGATATTCTTTTCATTTTCCAGTTTATTCTTTGTAAATTCCTTATTATCATCAAGCAGTTGCACTTCATTATATATATCAGTAGCTATCACTTTGAAATTCTCATTACAATTCATTTCTGGACTTTTCCTTTCTTTTACAATTTCACCAATGACTTATCTCCCCATTTCTATCAATAAAGAGTTCATACCTTTCTAGAGGATGCTTCATGTTTTGATATTTATTTTTTAAAGTCCAGTTTGATTGAGATATTTTCACTTCTCAGAGCTTTTCTTGTTTTCTGATGTTCTATCAGCAATTTCATTATGGTATAATATAACTTTTCTAGAGAGAGGATTTGGGATATATGTCAGCTCATCTTTAAACTGAAATAAGTAATAAACAGTGTCATCTTATATTTTCTTCCCAAATAGTGAAATTACCTGTCCTAATATGATGCTTGAGATTCTTAATTTTCTTATCTACACCTTGTTCTATTTTTATGATATAAAACCATATATTTTATTTGTGGCTTCATATCATCATTCAGTGGGGTTCCATAAACCAAATTTTTAAAGTTTAAACTCATTCAAGTTAATCATTTGTCCAATCATTTGACAGCTGGATATAAAATCTACACATTTATCTACCTGCTAGATATTTACTCTTAGCTTTCAGTATTAAGAATTTATAGTTACATTTTCTTATTTTGTATTAAATTTTAAAATACATTGTTGATGTTTATGATTGATACAAATATAAATTTCACATTATGTAAGTCTAGTTTCTATATTTAAACTATAGAAAATGCTCTTATCTCTTTTGTAAATTAGCAGGGTTGGGTATCACTTAATCTATAAAAGAAAATTGTCTTTGCAGTTTCTTTTACACCAAACTGAATTTATGTAAGACAAGCATCAACAGCCAAGTCAGATAGACCTATAAAAAGGCTCATGAACCTTCTTTGTAGGGTCAATGGCCATCTAGCACAACGGAGTACCTATTATACTCTTGATGTTGACACAATAACAACTATCACTGGAAAGAGAACAATGAGTGTCCTTCCAAGTTTAAGAAGTGTGTACTCATTTGAAACCTGCCTTGAAAGTTCTTTCTAGAGTTATGATTGGCCTTTTGGATACTGATACTGATGGATTCAGTAGAGTGCATTATGGAACATCTTTGCAATATTGTAATTTCATTGTGTAAACTTATTAACTAGTTTATAGCTCAAGTTTGCTGGATTTTCTTTTAATATTGCTTCTCTTGATAGTTCTAAAAGCTTTGAAACATTATTTTTAGTAAGATTGATAGAAACAAAAATCCATTGCTTATAAAAGTTAAATCAATTTTAAGACATTATGATATGAGAAAGATTTAAATTTTGAAACAGGTATTGGAATATTAACTTTTCTGTTGTTGAAAATTTAACTATGAAATATTAGAAATATTATCCAAAAAATACATTTTATTTTCTGCATTAACTTTGAACCATTTAGTGTTATACTTGATTATCTTCATTATTCTATCCTCCAGAACTTTTTCTCAGCAAAGAATTGTTCTATATCCCTTTCTAGTCTTTCAAGGAATTATATATTTACATTTAAAAAGAATCCTGTAAAAATAGGGATAAATCATAATCCATAGGTGTCATATTTGATGATAATGGTGGATGTGTTAAAATTTCCCATTAAAAAATCTACTTTTGCTTTGCAGTTGGCAAATTATGAGGCCTCCATTTTTGAAGTTGATGCAGATGATAGTAAACTGTTGAATGGCTCAAATTTAGTTTTTGAGCAAATTCTTCAACTATAACTACACTATTTCTTTAGAATTCAGACGGAATTAACTCAGCAGGACAACCTGTTTGTGGTGTATCTTTTCAGTTCAAGTCATGTTTTCTAAACCTTTCAAACTCTGTCTATATTTCTTAGATGAGGTATTATGTACACTATTTACGATATTTTGACTATTGTCCTCATCTTTGTTACCATATTTATTACAACGTTTCGGCCATTGTACACTCTGGCCTTCTTCAGGTGGTTGGAATGTCGAACTGAACCATTTATTTCGCTCACTGGAGTAAACTGTTCTGTTCCCAAAGAACAAAACATAACAAGAAACAAAATGCTAATAGTCTGAAGTATATAGAAATCATATAAAAAAAAAATTTGGACATGTAAAAATTCATAATTTGTAATACATAATCAAGATGCAAAACCTTATTCAATGGAATTGTAAATGGGGTCAAAACACTATGAAAGTGTAAAAATAGGTTTTAATACCAGAAATACTTTGTAAAAAAAAAAAAAAAAAATATTACCAGCAATACATTTTTGAAAAACAAATATTACCAAAAAAATATATATATATATATATATATATATTTTGAAGAAAAAAATATATATATTACCAGGTACACATTTTTTTAAAAGAAAATTATTACCAGAAATACAATTTTTGAAGGAAAAATATTACCAGGAATAGATTTTTTTTTAAAAATTACCAACAATGAAAATTTTGTCAGCATTAAATTACCCATTGAGCTTGATATGTCATAAACCAAACCAAACTAGAGGGTTTTTGTTCCTTCTTCTTCTTTTACCCCCCCCCCCCGCTTTAAAACTTAAAACTTAGATTCTGCTATAAATTATAGCAGAATCTAATATGCACAGTTGGATACACAAAAAAAAGAAAACTACTCAAAATGTAACTTTTATTTACAGTTCTATGGCAAAATGTGTAACACTGATATTAATTGGCTTCTATTCAATTACTACTGCTGTCTGTCAGATTAACAAAGCAATACATTATTACAATAATGACTGTCAATATACGAATTAAGTCTTACTTTTATCAAATTAAAATTTTTAAAATATTTATTTTCTAACATTATGAATGTACAAAGGATGTCATTGGTAATTAAAAATCCACATTTTACTTAGAATAGAAAAAAATTGAATCGGCGGGGGAAACATGAGAATGTTTTAAAATCTTATATTTTATCATTTCAGAAAGATGAAGTATTCCTGAATTTAGTACTGGAATATGTGCCTGAGACTGTGTATAGAGTAGCTAGGCATTATTGCAAGTCCAAACAGACAATACCTACCTTATATATTAAGGTAAGTTTTACTTTCATGTACTGGTATCAAAAAATCTTTTTATGCCATTACTTTTTTGTAGCATTTTGAAGTCACCTGAATTATTGGTACAGCTTGTTTTATATGGATCCTATTTTTCTTTCTCTCATTTACACACACATTACCAATGCTTAGATGTATGCATGTCTTAATTTTATATTCATATTGTGAGTGTGAATTTACTTAAGGTTGTAAATTTAAGATGTGAGATTGTCTTTATTTTTATTGGAAAATAATTAAAGTAGCTTTGTTTGAATATTTTTCTTTTGTACATATTTAAAAAATTTATTATATGATAATGGAGTTTCACTGTTTATCCTGATACCAATTCTTTGCATTGTAAAAGGTTGATTTTTTTTTTTTTGTTCCTGATTTGGTAAAATTTATTGCTTGTTTCTCTAAGTAAAGCTCAATATGTAAGATGTTTTCATTCTTAAGTATCATTTTGTTAAAGAATTTATTTAAAAAATATAAAAATCAGCTGCAAGCTGGATCATTTCAACTTTATAATTATTTTATTGTTTGTGTATAAATCTTTCACCACATCCAACAACTGCATTGAAATAAAACAAACATTTATCAACATTAATTTTCCTAAACCATGTCAATGAGCAAATAAAATTTACCTTAAAAAAAAAAAGTTTTAGAAAAAAGTGATAAACAAAAATAAAAACTTTCTCTTCATTAACCATATGCACCCTAACTATAAACAAGATGGAAAAGCTGTTAAAAATATAGTTTGCTGGTATATATCACTTTTATAAATTCTCATGGTCTTTGGGAGATTTCATCTCTAATATTAATAACCACAAAACATAATGAAATTTTTACATTGGTCATACAAGCACCACAATCATTTATAAGTTAACTTGTCACTCATTGACACTCAAGTACATTTTAATTATAATAAACAACCAAAATACAGCTATTAACATAAAACATTAGTTGATAATACAAAATATTATACAAAAAAAAACTGTAAAGAAAGACACAAAATCAAAGCAACTATTTGACAAAAGAAACAAACTACATTAAATATATCTTTTACTACGAGAATCTACATTTTAAAATGTGTATAAATGTGGTAAAAAGATGAGAGAAAAAAGTGAAAACTTACCGGTGCCGGAAAGCAAAAAGCTAGAAAGGTAAAAGTAACACTTATATAGCAAAGCGCCAATGCATTATGGGTGAGTAGTGGTTGTATAAAAACTGGAAAGAATGATGGACGAAGAGCTTTTTTTTTTCCTTTTTGCAAACAGGTATCAGCGAGAGATCAGAAAGGAAGAGGAGGAAAGAAAGTTTTTTTTTTTTTTTTTTTTTTTTTCCCCCTGTATATCAGCAAGACCACAAGCTATTTCACCATAGGAGGAGAGAAGGGGAGAATGCATGTGGCCATTGCCATGATCAGACCCTTTGATGGACAAGGAGACACAGTGGCATGGCTCACGAAAGTGAAGTTGGTTGCTAGGTTACAACATATCACTGGCCTGGTGAGTTTGATCCCACTGTACCTTGAGGTGGATGCATTGGCTCTCTATATGGAGATGAATAAGATTGATATGACAGATGCTGAGGTAATTGAGTCAATGCTACTCAAGGCCTTTATGGATGGACCTTTTATAGCATAAAATCCAAATGGACTGGCAAATCCATTGATGTTTATACTAACAGTATGAGGCGATGGGCAGGATTAGCATGATTCATGGGAAGGGGTGTGGAAGGGATGGTAAAGCTGGCATTTGTGCATGGATTCCCGGACCAAATATAGATAGCACTTCAGCAGCTGCCCCAGGTAGAAACTAAAGAGATGAGCAAGCTGATAACTGCCACTAGGACGCTAACTAAATAGAGCAGGAGAATCCCTGTGGCGCAAAGCCCAACTGCTAAAGAACCAGGAACAGAACAAGCAAGAAGGTTTAGCAGACAATGTTTTCAGTGTCGTGGACTACACATGATAGAAGATTGTAAGTAACGACCAAATCCTGCTGTGACCTACAGATGTGGAGAGAACGGACACATTGTCTGAGTTTGTTCCCAGGGAAATGGCAAGTGATTGACATCATGCATTACCAAAATGGGTCATATCTGTCAATGATTGTTTTGCGGGTTTGGCAGAATAGCCATATGGCAGGAGAAGGGAGAAATGGGGACAGCAGTTGCATCTATGCTGAACGAGCTATTCCTAGAGAGAGGTCCATTGAAAGAGGTCCTAAATAATGGAACAGTTTTCAAGTCAGCGCTAGTTAAAGCATTACTGGATAAGTTGAATGTGCAAGCATATTACAGGGTTGCATACAGACCTAGTGGAAACGGCATTGTAGGGAGGCACCACAGGATAGTGAAGGCAATAGCTCAAATATCACCAATTGAGGCAATCTACTGGTATAACATGTCCCTTTGGGTAGGCCAGGAGGAGGATTCTGTGCAATATTTTAGTATGAGTGGAGACACCCACTAGTCATCCCCAAAATGAAGCAGCGGCGAGGTGACCTGGTTCAACTGAAATTGAAGAGGTATGGATAAAGCCACCTAGTGGTTGCTACACCACGCAATAGGGGCAGGGAATGGTGACTGGAGTATAATCACAATGTTTCTGCAGATGGAACCCCTCGGCACGTCCTGGATGTACAACGAGTGAATGATTCACCAGTGATACTATAGCGAGACAATGTGATAGTGATACAGATGATCTAGCATGTATGTCAGGAAGAGAGATGCAACCACCTTGTTGGGCACATGACTACATGGTATGAGGATGATCTTGTTGAGATCAAGGGGGCATGTGGTAAAAAGATCAGAGAAAAGAAATGAAAACTTACCGGCGCCCAAAGTTTTTTTTTTAAAAAAAAAAAAAAAAGCTAGAAAGGTGGAAGTAACATTTATATAGGGAAGTGCCAATGCATTATAGGTGAGTGGTGGTTGTATAAAAGCTGGAAAGATTTTTTTTTTTTTTTTTTGCAAACAGGTGTCAGCAAGTGATTGGACAGGAAAGGAAGAAAAGGAAAGAAAGAATTTTTTTTTTATTATTGTTTCTGTATATCAGCAAGACCATAATAAATAAGAATATAAAATTATTATATATTTGGTTTCAGATTGTTATGTTTCGTGAAATTGTTCTACATATGATGTCACTTCGACAACATAGCCGCACACGTATATAATTAAATTTGAACTGTAACCTCCTCCCCAAAAAGCCAGGATGTAACCAAGAATTTCTTGTCCAGGATTCTGACATTTAATTCCTAATAATACAAAATAGTCGATACTACTCAAATACAGAAAACATTAACTGTGGAGAGTTTATCTACAATTATGATTCATATGTGCGTTGCAACAACTTAATCCCAAACTGAAAATATACCATAAAATTTAAGCCAGAGCTGTGTGTGTTGTATATACTCGCTTATCATACGACTTTTGAAGATCTAATTTTCAAGATAATTTTAAGGTGGTCACATCATTCACAAGATATGTCATTGACCAAACTATATATTTACTGTAGTCAAATTAGCTTCAAAATTAAGATTTCAAAGGTTGCATTATACACAATATGTTATGTGAGTGTAATAATAATATCTGAGTACTCGTATTTAAGAATACCCGTCTATTGCAGTTAATCCCTATTACAGACGCTTGCTCAGGCACATTTGTGTTTGTTCAACACCCAGAGTCAACCTGTGCTTTATACTGCAACTATGCTGAGCAGACCTTAGTTACAGTTTCTGGGAGAGCATGTTACTTAGCGTGATCAACAGTCTGAACAAGGCCAGCACACTCAAACCCTTGGCCACGATGACTTGTGATTTTGTGCTAGCTATCCTCTTGGAAATAAATACACACACGCAGTTCACCCAAAAATATATACACACTTGAAAAAAAAGGGGGAAACTTGTATAGATATTATAATACTAAATTTATTCAGATATCAAGATTAATACAAGTTACCTTTGGACTCTGCAATCACAAGAGATGTTCAAAATGGTGGCTTCCAGACATTTATAAGTATGGCAAATTACTACTTGGGCAATGTTGGCCAAAGTGTTCAGTGGGATTGCTGCACATGCATTTTCAATTTCTTGTCTAAGGGCTACCAATGTAATGCCATCTGTTGAGAAAATATAATTCTACAATAAATTGTATTTGCTATTTAATAAAATTATGAAAGACAAGTTTTTTTTTTTTTTTTTTTTTTCATGAAGTCTGTATACATTTTGTTTTTGTGGACTCTGTGTAGATATATTAAGAATCACTGCCCAGGAAACCTGATATAATCAAAGGAAATATCCTGATATAATCATCAAATAACAGATAAAATAAACATCTTCGTAGTTTTTGTTGTGGCCTGTTTAGAGGCCAGAAATAAAAAAAAGGAAGACAAAGGTAACAAAAAAAAGTATATTGAAGATATATACAAAACAATAGTGTTAGTAATAAGTATATTAGTTTTTCGTCTTTAAACTCCACTTCAAACTCTGTGGTCCCGTCTGACTCTGAAGTTTGTATTTTTATGAGAGAAGGAAGAGTTCATTATACTGTAAGAGGGTTTACTACAACAGTTTTAAACAAATCTGATTACAATACAAAGATAGAACAAATACTTACTGATCACACCAAATTTCAAAAAGTTAACAGGAATCCTATCAACCAGCTTAAATTAAAAATCTTCAAAACTAATTACAGCCAACAATACCAGAAAAAGACAATTTAAAACTTTCCAAAATGATTGCTGATTATAAACCAAGTTACATTTATGGAACCATAAAAACACACAAGCCAAACTCTTCTCCATCCTAATATATCCCAAATCCCCACTTCTGTTTATCAACTAACCAAAATCATTAACCAACTTATTACACCAAACATCTTCTAAATACAGCATCAAATCAACTCTTGAATTAATCCAAATCAAGACAGAAAAACCTGATAATGAAATCGTAACCTCACGTGATGTTGAAAATTTATTCACCAATGTCCTAGTTAGA